ACGATAAGACTCTTAGCAGTGGAAATTGGTGGAGAAGGAAGCTTCGGTGGGGAAGCAATATTCCACGGAACCCTCCCGTGCCACAAATTGGGAGAGATAACAGCGTTATCTCAGGAAGATTACGGGAGCGGAGGCTTGGTCCCCCAGAGACTGTTTTATGTGAAGGGACTATATAAGACTGACTTTGTAGCTACTTGGATGTCGTAGAACTTTGAATTAACACCGGTATAATTTGATATTTTAGAGTATGAGTAGCTAGAAAAAGGAAAGGGTCAATCCATCTCCAATGGATTTAATATAGAACTGTCACACATAAACATATTAAAATAGGTTGTTCGAGCCGTGTTTTTAATGGCAATCACGTAGTCTGAGGATCCGAGACTCAGCTATGTGGTTGTGTTCGCATGTAAACGAAAGATGATCAAAAGTCGTTTGACTGATGGCCTAAAAAAAGATAACTTTTTACTTAGCCCTAAACAGACCAGAAAATCAACTGGCAAGGTCGAGACGGTGAAAAACGAGTAGAATTAGGGTAACTGATGCCTGCCAGTCGTTAATAGGTACTTTTTCTACGCTCCGCCGCTGTGTAGTATTTGGGCGAATGTTACATTGCAAAAACAAATACTACTAAAAGACTTTTTTCCTTTTAAAGCTGGCAGAAATACAATTATGAGCATTAAGATTTAGAAGTTAAGCAGCGACAATTGATTCAAAAAAGGTACCTGAGTTTTCAGGGTTGATATATGATATCGATAAGTTTAAAAAGAGTTAACGGAGTGTTCTCTTTGCACTGGCGGGTTTCTCCTGGCGAAGGTCAATCCCATATTTTGCTGACACGATGTTGGCAATAGCAGTTGTCCGGATAAAATATGTCCCTCATGTTGAAGTTTTGCACACTTTCGGAACATCGAACAAAGTCCTGTGTGCAGCGCGACTGCCAGGTCTAGAAAAATAAAAATATAAATAATCCTAAACTTTAATATCGTAATTGTTTTGTAAGATGTTGAAGAATAAAACAAGATCCGAGTAGATCAGCCGATAGCAGATAGGTAAAAGTTTAATAGACGCAATAGATATTTTGTATTCATTTAATCCACAAATCCCCTTCATTGCTTTGCGTTGTACATTTTCTAGCTTTCGAAGAGAAGCAATGTTTGGATGCCAGTTGCTTGAGTTAAAAAGAAGAGTACTTTTGACTCATGATACATAGAGTTGAAGTTTTGTTATCATTGGAGTGTTATATGGGATGTTGCGTTTTAAACTGAAGAAGCAACGCACAGCTTTACCAGATTTAAGGTTAAGGTTTTCGGTCCAGGAGAGATTTGGTGTTACAAATAAGCCAAGATCTTTTATAGAAGGTACACGTTCAGTAACTAGACTGTTAAGAAAATACTCGTGTGGCCTGTTGCAAATAAGTTTTGTTTTATCTGGATGGTATATAAGACCATTTTCGACAGACCATTGCTAAACGTTATCAATATCCTTTTGAAATTTGATCGAAGATGAAATTGAAAGAAGTCTTAAATCATCAGCGAACAGATAGCAAATCGAAGAGAGAACTCGCTCTGGCATATCATTTATGAATATTGAAAAAAAAAATCGGGCCTAAAAAACTCCCATGCGGAACTCCACTAAGAACAGAGCACGGCGAAGAAAGGACATTGCTAATACGTACATGTTGCTGGCGATCAGAGATATATGAACTAATAAGAGGTACGAATTTCTTGTCGAAGCCAAATTTTTCTAGTTTAAAAAGTAATCTGTTTGGTGAAACACTGTCGAATGCTTTTTTAAAATCAAAGTATACACACCTAAAATCTGTACAAAATTTTTTCCATTACGAGCAAAATTCTTGGTAAGATTTTAATCCCGCGGTAGTTTTTGATATCTGCTTTAGATGCAGTGGCGTTATATTTGCTTTTTTCCAGGAAACGGGCTATGTAAGAGAGATAACTATTTGGGTGAACAAAATAAAAGCAAAGGGGGCGATAATACTCGCACCTGTTTTTAAAATAAAAGGAGGAATGTTGTCAGCAGCAGGACTACTACATTCAGGTAGCTTTAACAATAGTTCTTAAAAATAATTAGTGTTAAACGAAAGTTCGTCAAGATAAAAATCACAATTTCCGTCATTTGAGGCAGGGGTAAACTTAAACCACTCTTCCTGATAAACAGATGACAAAAACTCATTGAACAGTTCAGCTTTACCCTTGTCATCTGAGGTCTTGCCGTTGCCAGGGTAAACCTCGGGAGGTATAGGCGAAACCCCAGAGAATTGTTTCAGTAGTTTGAAAGAATCATTAGTGCTAAGAGCATTAAAAGTAGAAACAAGCGAAATTTTATCAAGTGCCTTAGATTGACTTATATCTTCCTGTACCGTGAGAATTTTGATAGACGTTTCTTCCCCAGTTCGACGCTTTTCGGTTTCAATTTGATTTGATATGTGCACAGAATGACTTGAAAAATAAAACGGGAGACTTTTACGTTTGTTTCGTTTACGCTGGGTTGAGGCTTGCACTGCCGAAGTTAGGAGGGATAACTAATTATTATAGAAATCAACGGAATTCATTAAATAGTAAGTCATCAAAAGGTATTCATCGGAACGCATGTATTCATTGAATATATATCTGGATTGAAACTAGATTTCGAAAAATAATCGATATCAGACTCGGCTATCATCGTTTTGTCGTGTGGTAAAGATATACGCATGATAATAGGATAATGGTCCGAACTGAATTTTTCGGATAAAACATCTGAAAGCATAATTGAGGCTCATTGCGTATAAAAAGTTCTAATAATTTCTGGTCTGATAAATTCTAATAAAGGACAAGAGTGGGGGATTCTACTAACTGAATTCCATTGAAGTGTGCAAAACAATCAAGAATATTTTTAGAATAATTAGACGCGCCGGGGTATGAAACCGGGCATACGTCAGAGAGATTAAAATTGCCGCAAACAACTATGCATTCTAAGGGATGTTTAGCTAGAAAATTATTTGTATACTCTAACAGACAAAGAGGAAAAAGTTAGAAGGAAGAGACAGGGGGTCATAAACATTAATGACTACAGTAATAGGGTCGCTGATAACCACACGCAGCGCAAGAGAAATCATAGATATGATATGTACTGTTAATAACAGTGACAAGGATTGAATTTTTGACCAGAATAGCTATACCCCCATGTTGACCTGGTTTGCGAGAGCATTGAAAGACAACAGTGTAACCACAAGATGGAAGATTGTTTGAATCATCGGAACCAAGCCATGTTTCGCAGAGACAAAGTAAATCAGGCAAATACATATTTAACAGCTTAATGCAATCTAACCGTTTGTTCAGGCTACTAATACTATGAATGTTCCACGAAATTATTGAAACAGAAGTATTTGACAGTCAAGTTTCGAGAGGAACCTACATATCATTGTGATACAGCTTTAAAATTCTGATTTTAAGTTCTTTCCGGGGAATATTTGTTTGTATCATGTCCCAACGTTTCTTTAGTAATCGCTTCTCAATGGTTTCTTAATCCTTAGTAAGCGATTTGCAAATAAATACAGGATAGGCGTGATTGCGTTGAAAATGTCCTTTCATCAAGCTTTTTCTGGCTGTCCATTTTTGAAAGTGACTAGTAGTGAGCGGGTTCTATGTGCAGTGGTGAGCGGGTTCTTAGTTGAACGGTCCAAGTCTTTTCACCAGGCTACTTTTGTGCCATTCGCCGATTGTTTCCAATATGGTTTCCAGATATTTCTCATCATGTTCCATCCTCTCAACCGAGGAGTGCTGACCAGGCTCTAGTTTTAACTCTGGTATACCGTTTAATTTATTTTCCAAATTGTTACTGCTAGAGAAATTAACAGATCTTGGCTCAGTTTTTGGATTGATAGGCATTGATTCAACGACAGCGTCGCCTTAAATGACTCGGTCATTGCCTTTTCTCTCATCCCCTTTTTCACAATGCAATATCGAGGTAATCCATCTCAACTATTAGCTGCAAAGGTTCGGCGAAAATCCGGGGCACGAATATTGTTAACAACAAGAACATTGAAAACATGCTTGCCATCTCTCAAAACTTCCTTTGCTCGTGAAAGAGATCCAAAGTGGTGTATAAGCTTACATGCAGTGGATGTAACTCCACATATGTCGGCCAGACAGTCCAACATTTAGCCACGAGGGTCGATGAACACCGCAAAGGGGACTCCCCAGTAGCGCAACACTTATTAGAATGTAATAAGGATGTAGGTGGTACTGCTGAGCTTAAGTCAGAGATTAAAGACCAAACAGCCAACACTCATAAGCTACTCACACTAGAGGCTTTGCATATTTGGAGGGAGAGGCCGAGGATCAACAAACGCGATGAATTCAGGAGCCGGGAATTACCACTAAATTTATAGTTTATGTATAACATGGCTAAAAGTTAAAAAAACTGACAAGTCAGAATCAAAAAAATTCCGAAATCGAAAATTTATAGCCATGAAAGAACAAAAAGCGAAAAAGAAACATCAGAAATTTACAGCAAAAAGTTATCATTGATAACGTAATTTATTATGTAATTACAGTTGATTAAATTTGATTGGTGAAAAACTTTTAAAGCAACTTTAGACATGTTTCTCATTTTTCAGATCTTTGATCGTTTTGTAAATATTGTAAAAACTTTAATCCTGATGATGCTCAAAATATGCGAAAACGTTTGAATTAACTTTTCAAGTTTCTTTTTGCCTTTTCAATGATCGCAGGATTTTTTCCGTGATTGTATTTATATTTTCTTCAACAGAGGGAAGTGAAGCTTTTTTATTGAAACAAATCAGGCAACGAAAGAGCAACAACTTAGCCTTTGTTATCTTGGTGTGAAGATCCACAGCACCCATCGTGAAACCAGCCGTCACAGATATCGCATTGAATTCAGTTCTCACCACCCCCTTTCTTGCACTTAAGACAATGATGTTGCCGGAGCTCTATCTCCCACAGATTCTTTACTTGTTTTCATTTTTATTCCAATCTAAAACTATTTAATAAGTTTATCATAACAATTAGGCTTTTGAAATTTTCGTTTTAGCAAGAATCTTGTCAAGAGAAGAGATAACGGATGCATGTTACTTATGTTTGAGTTTTTTAAGGGCGAGTTCGAGTACTGAGGAAAATACTCGATGAGTTTTCCGAGTCGAGTAATGGTTGGTTTCGAGTTTCGAGTAGCTACACTCAGAGTAATCGTAAGCCCTGATAGCGTCAAGCAAATCAGCAAGTGAGGATAGCTGCGTTACTATTGAGTTTAGCACAAAGGTCTTCGGTTTGAGAAATCTGCCGTTTAAGATTTCGCAGACAACTCCTCGAGCTCGTTTAAGCTTCTTCCTAGCTGTGGAATTTGACTTTATAAAGTAAGCGCAGCGATTGTGCTTAGTTTCATTAGGTTATGAGGCGGACCAGAATGAACACTTCGCGATAGCTGGAAAGCGACTGTATCATATGCAATTTAAAATAAAGATCATTTAATTCCTACAAATTGCGGGTAAGTGAAATTTTGGGAAAAACATGTGTTAATTGTTAAAATATGAACAAATTAGCTTATCATTTAAAACGTGCTGTGTTCGCTACAACAACTTTATATGCCGATGCTCATTACACATTTTAATGTCTTGCTAGTGAATCCCACGGGTTTTCCCTTCTTGAGAGTAGATGGTTTTTTTGTTAACGAACAGTTTAGATGGAATGCAGTAGGAGTTCTTAATCGCTGTTAAAAGAGAAGGGCAGGTACTTTCGATGTTTTTCAATGCCAGTTTTCGTTTCAGCGAGTTGAAAGGGTTTTTGGCTTCTATCAGTATAACAGCATCGGCTAAATTTTGCTCAATTGATCTCTTAGCGTGTGGATCGCATATTCGATGCCGCATTTTTGTCCTAGACAGAGTTGGTAGTTCGAGCCGAGCGACATGAGTACGTTTTTTAGGCATTTGGTTATTGTTCGCCCTTTTATCCGACGGATAACTTCTCCTATGCCTATGCGTCTTACTCCTGAATTCTTATCTAAATGTATTAATCTACATGCGTTATATGGTTCCATTATTTCTGGATTTAGTTCTTCGGTGGCCAATTTTTTGGCAATTTTAGCAATTTTTTTGAAATCTCAACTGATTGTTGCCCTAAGTGTGTTAAAATACGTCTCCATTCATTTCTATCGAGGCCAGATGGCCCATGCAATCCGTGCGGCGTTCTCATGGCTGCCTTCTTGATATGTTGACCGTTTATCTGATCAAATATCGATGGATGGAAAGGAATTGTTTCGTTTGAGACTGGTGTAATATAGTTCTCATCAATTGGTTTAGATGGTGGGTGCTTCTCTATGAGAGTCTGTTCTACTGTTTTACCTTTGACGATCTCGTCGAGCAAAAGAACGCCTTTGGATGTGTCCGCTAGTTTCGCAATGGCGCTTGATATTTTTCCAGTATTCATTAGTTTGTTGAACTGGTATGCTTCATTTCAGTTTTTCTTCTACTTCCTTTCAACAAGCGCATTTGCAGCGCCTTCCCTTCCTTATATAGTCCATCCAGGTCTCCGTCTTCCCATTGCTTAAGACGCCTTACTATTGTTTTGGATAAAGATCCATCATTTTTGGACTTTGTTTTGCACAGTAATAAGTGTGGAAAAATAATTGCTGCGTGTATGGCGAAGGTTTTTTTGTTGTTTTCTATTAGGCTGTTCAAAGTTCTATTGAGGGTTTCAATGAAGTTATAACCAACTTTAGTTTTGACAAGATCATAAAGACCGGTTTCCAGTGGACCACTTCGGTGTATATTTTCCTGGTGGTTTCTATGAGTTCTGGACATGGGTTTGACCATGGGTCTTGTATTGTTCTAGGTTATATAGTGGAAGACCCTCCTGAGTAGTGTGAGTGTGGGGCAGTGGAAGGGTGAGGGTGTATTTGGGGGAGCGTGGATGTAGCTCGGTTTGGAGGATTGCATTCATGCTTGTCGTTAGCTGAATGAAATTGGGAGGTGCAGCGATGACAATTGAAATCGTCATAGTGATCACTGCTGCGGGCTAGGCCGCTGCATTTTACATGCATGTAGCCTGGGCATGTGAAGCACCAAACACCTCCGCCTCGCAAATTGTTTATACAAATAAGGCAGTGTGTTTGAATAGCCATTTTAGGAAGGACGGCGGTGTCAAGTTAGCGAGAGATTTTATAGATTGAATTTGCAAGAAAATTTGTAAAGAAAGCATTACCGTAGAAAGAGAAATGGATACCATCACGGCAGAAAATTTGAGGGGTTAGATTTAGGTTGAGGTTAGATGAAACAAAAAGTGTATGGGGGTGTACAAATCTATTTATCAAATTAAACAGCACATGATTATGAATATAAATTTTGCGGTTTACTTCGGAATTATTAAAGTTCTAAATTGTTTTGGGGATGATCAGTGTCATGGGCTGAAACTTGTTAGTGACAAAGTTTTTCCACTGCTGATCTAATTCTTGTGGATGCAGCCTGTTGTCATTGAATCCAGCAACTGTTGTTAATGTATTTAGGCGCTTTGGTCTGTATTGCAAAACTGTTTCAAACAGATCATGAAGCGTTGCACGGCGGTAGGAGTGGATTGTTGATTCTACTAGAGCTGATTTGATATATTTGGTCCTTGAAGTCCCAATAACTAGTTTCTGTGAGAGCTCAGGGATGCGTCTTGCCTGGAATCGCGGCATCTACCTAAAATACAGACAACTGTGGCGAGAAAGGAAGCTCTTTGGGATAATTTATGAAAGCTTTAACTTAGGATTTCGAATTGTTTAGGCAAAGACGATGGAAAAAAAGGAGTGGTACAACTTGACGTCGATTTGGAGCTTGATTCACCAGCTCACTCCTTCTTGCGTCTAGTTACGCCAGGGAAATTTCACTCGCCTACAGCTGGGATAGCGAGATTTGGTAAGATAACCAGAAGAGGAAAGTTCAGCGGGCATATGATATGAAAACAAACAAGCGGTAAGTTTGAACAAAGAAAGACTATTTAATAAGTTTATCACAACAATTAGGCTAAAAAAAAACCATCTACTCTCAAGAAGGGACAACCCAGGGAGATCCAGTAGCAATGTCCATGTATGGTCTAGCCATAATACCCCTCATAAAATTCATGTCCTTGATAAAATTGTATCACTGGGTAAATTTTTCGGCTACCATGTGAAAGCATCCAAATGCCAACTCATTGTCAAGGATGAAAAACTCGGTGAAGCTGAGAAAATCTTCGCAAAAACAGGAATCACTATAAAGGCAGGAGCCCGAGTGCTTGGTTCAGTAATAGGAACAGAATCTGAATGTAAAAAGTTCCTCGAGTTTCAACAGAATGAGCAAATCAAAATTTTGAAAAAACTAACGTAAATCGCTAAAACCTCCCCCCAAAACGTTTATGCCTGCTATACTAAAGGAGTCCAAGAAAAGCTTTCATTTCTTGCCAGGACAACGCCTAACACTATGAAAAAATTAGAAATATGTGAAAAATTTATCAAAGAACAATTATTACCTAACAAAGTCGGTAAAGACACTTTAAACCCCCCGTTCCGTGAGATATCTTCCTTACCCCTTAAAATAGGCGAAATGAACATCAAGCTGCCATCCGATCATGAAAGCTATCTAAAATGGTCTAAGGAAACATCACTAGTACTGGAATCTCAAGATCCTGTTACAGCAGTAACACAGCACAAAAAAATATGTACGACAATCAAAAAATTGAAAACTGATAGAACAAATCAGAAAAAAAACAAACATCGTTAACTCCTTAAATGAAACAGATGAATACGCAATCGACCTGGCCTCTGAAAAGAGAGCCTCTAACTGGCTCAATGCTTTACCACTGAGCAGATACAACTTCAACCTGAACAAATCAGAATTCAGAGATGGTATCTACTTCAGATACGGATGGGAACCGACCAAAGCCCCACTCACATGTACATGTGCTGCTAATTTCAACTTGACACATGCGTTTCACTGTACAAAGGGTGGTTCCACACAAATAAGACACAATGAATTTAGAGACATTTTCGCCAACCTTATGAACGAAGAGTTTGCCATGACGTCGAGATTGAGCCGAAACTTCCGCCGTTGCAAGGCGAAAGCTTTGTCAACAATTCAACTACAACTGAAGATGAGGCAGGACTTGACATTCAGGCAAACGGACCTCTGGGGTTCACGATTCAGCCGCGCTTTCTTTGATGTAAAAATTTACAACCCCCATGCCAAAACATCGCGAAAAGACGCATACAAATACCACGAAACGCTGAAGAACTCCAAATATCAGAGAGAATTTTAAATGTAGAGCAGAGTAGCTTTGTGCCATTCTGCCAGATTGGCACAGCGCAACCTTCCCGCGACACAAAATAAAATGAATAAAGGCCTTAGTTACGAAAAATTACTGCGAAAGAGGGTCTAGATATTCCGAATATTTGAATTTTTAAAATTTCGAATGACGGGCCAATATTTCTGAGAAATAAAAAAAGACGGCCATTTTGACTGAAAAGGACAAAAAAACAGAACAACAACAAATATAGTGAAAAACGGTCGTGCGGGAACACGAGAAAAACGGAGTCTATTATCGTGGCAACAACACACGATAAGATCCTTAGCAGTGGATATTAGTGGAGAAGGAAGCTTCAGTGGGGAAGGAATATTCCACGGAACCCTCCCGTGCCACAAATTGGAAGAGATGAGAACGTTATCTCGGGAAGATTACGGGAACGAAGGCTTGGTCCCCCAGAGACTGTTGTATGTGAAGAAACTATATAAAACTGACTTTGTAGCTACTTCTATGTCGTAGAACGTTGAATTAACAACGGTATTATTTGATATTTTAGAATATGAGTAGCTAGAAAGAGGAAAGGGTCAATCCATCTCCAATGGATTTAATATAGAACTGTCACACAAAAACATATTAAAATAGGGAATTCGAGCCGTGTTTTTAATAGCAATAACGTAATCTGAGGATCCGAGACTCAGCTATGTGGTTGTGTTCGCATGTAAACGAAAGCTGACCAAAAGTCGTTTGACTGATGGCCTAAAAATAGTAACTTTTTACTTAGCCCTAAACAGACCAGAAAATCAACTGGCAAGGTCGAGACGGTGAAAAACGAGTAAGATTAATGTAACTGACGCCTGCCAGTCGTTAATAGGTACTTTTTTCTACGCTCCGTCGCTGTGTAGTATTTGGGCGAATGTTACATAGACGTTTTTATGGCGCTCCTGGGTGGGCCTGTCAAAGGCATAAGACCATCATGATCAGCAAGCGTTTCAGCGACGAACCCTCCGCTCCGGGCGTATGCCCGAGTTAGAGGCCTTATTGACCGTTATTGTACTAGGGGGAAGGTGCGTACCCTCCGTCTAGTACTATTTAGCTTTTTAACTTAGCTAACACCGAAAATTCCGGGGGGCGGAGGGTTAGGTGGGAAGTCATGAGCCCGCTTGTCCCAAGGTCCCGGGAACAAAAACCATTAAAGAGAAAGCGTAAAACCAAACAAAAATAGCGTAACCAAGAAAACGTCAAAAAAAAAAATTTTTTGAAAACAAAAAATACAAAAAACAGTAAAAAATCCAAAAAAGACCAAAAACAGTAAAAAACAAAAAGTGACAGTTTATATGTTATTTCCGGACGAGATGTGATCTGACCTTCCTATTCGTTGTTGTTTCAGATTGGTTAATATCATTTCTGATAGAAAGATTGTGTGTTTTGGTGAAGGGTTGGATACCCTCCTTTGAGTGTAATTTGAGTATTTAAGCACGTTAATGGTGATTTTGCCGGTGGCCGGAGGGTAGAGAGGCAAGCTGACCGACGTGTTCCAAACTCAACAAGGACATCAAGGACAACATCCACAACGTATGTTTGATATCGTTGAAACAATTTTGGTATCGTTCGGGTACTATTTCATCAAAACTTAAGTGGTGGGGGGCACGATTGGCGCGGTCCGATTGTACCCTCCATCGATTACAAATTTCCGAGTTAAGGGTCTTAATTCGGGTATTTTGGTGCAAATGAGGGTATATTATTATTCATTAACGACTACTAATAGGTTATTATCCTTATTATATATTACTTATCTCCTAATTAGACCCAAGAAACACCCAAATTTAGTCGAAAACTATCGATTTTCGAAGAAACTGTAGACCCCCAAATTTTTGGATATCCGAGCTTTTCCGAACAGCAAAAAGCTTTTATATAAGGAGTAGCTCCGTAGTTCGATCCCCCTAACTAAAGAAACTGCGTGAGAAAAGACTCAGTAAAATTTGGAAAAAACCAAAACTTTTCGATCAAGATTTCGATAATTTTCTGAACTTTGTCAATCTGTTTTGGGGATCGAGTTTTTGAGTTTTTAGAGTTAGAGCATTAAAATTTTTTGTGTTAGGAGCGTGCTGGCATAACGTGCTCGGCCGCTAGAAAAATTCTTGAGTAACCCTCCGATTAGCTCCATGGATAGAGCTAACGACTTAAGGATTGGAAAAGGAAGGGATCGGAGGGTCCAAATTTGATAGTTATTGGCCAAATTTTTGTCTCCAAACCAATTTTGGCCCGGTTTTTTGCATAATTCCAGTGCCGTACAGGGCTACTACGCTCGTTTCAATTATTTTTAGGCACATTCAACAGGGATTGCGGAAAAAGTTTCTCAGAACCTATATAGGTGGTGAAAAAAGGCCATTTGGACAAACACGTTTTTGGCAATTTCTCAAAGACTAGCAAACCGATCGGGATAATTTTGGTACCATAAGTCGACGTTTTAGACCACTTTTCCGCACCGCAACCGTTTTTGGGTTGATAATCTCGGAAAAGAAAAATTGTTTAGAATTTGTTGGTTCGGAGGGTCCAAATTATAGGTAACCCTCCGAGCGGCAGAAAATTTTATCAAAACATCTTTTTATCCTGCTGAGAAGGTTGACCGTGTCAACCAACCTGGTTTTAAGCAAGTTACACCGCATTAAGAGGCTTTATTGCGGTAAATTAACCCCTTTTTCCTGATTTTTGCGGAACCCTCCGGAAAAACCCTCCGGAGTGACTTAAGCCCCTTACCAACCCTCCTTAGTGGAGATTTTCCACGAGACTCTCCGAAGGAGTTAAAAACAACACCCCATAGGGAATTTAGCTTGTTTTGACGCTTTCTTAAGCTAGTTGAAGGCCCTTTTCAAAAACTTGAAAGTTTTGGAAGAACCCTCCGAGGTAACCCTCCGGAGCATATTAAGCCTCTTGTTGACCCTACTTAGTGAGTTAAGGGGGACCCTCCGAAGTCTCTTGGGTGACTAAGGTACCCTCCGAAGTGACCCTCCGGTGTAGGCTAAGTGTCTTAACAACCCTCCGAAATAACCCTCCGGTGTGACTTAAACCTTCTAACAACCTTCCTTGTTAGAAACTTGAGGAAACCTTCTGTGGCAATTTGGGAAACGGAAAATATCCATTAAATTAAGATCATATTGGGATATTAGGCGTGCTAATTAGGATCATAGGAGCCCATTCTGACCCGGACTTTTGTGATCAACTTTGGATTCTAGATCGGGTGTATCAGAAGTACCCGAACAAAATTTTTTTTTGGTTGTGATTTTGGTTGTGTGGTTGCCTTGAGCTACTTAATAGGAAAATTCGGGCAATCCGGGAACAAACAAAAGAAGACCTCGGTGAGTGTATTAGGCAAATGCACACTCACTTGAGAAGAAAAGTTGTTTCCTCCTCTCGTGTACTTGGAGCAGTCCGGGTGTGGGGGAGCTTTTTCATAGACTTTAGAAATTTTCGGTCAGAGGTTGCCTTGAGCTACTTAGTAGGACAGCTCGGGCAATCGCAGGACACCTAAAAGAAGACCTCGGTGGGTGTATTAGGCAAATACACACCCACTTGAGAAGACTGTGTCCTGGGCTTCGTTCTTTCGGATCGTTCCGATTGAGGGAAGTCTTTTTCTTTAAGACTAAGTTTTATTGATCTGTTTCTGAATCATCACTGCTTTTTACCAAAGATTGTTTGACTTTAACAAAGCAGTGACTTGATAAAAGTGTGGCGGTAA